CTCTCTCTCTCTCTCTCTCTCTCTCTCTCTCTCTCTCTCTCTCTCTCTCAATTTCTCTCTCTCTCTCTCAATTTCTCTCTCTCAACCTCTCTCTGTCTCTGCTCTCTCTGCTCTCTCTGCTCTCTTTGCTCTCTTTGCTCTCTTTGTTCTCTTTGCTCTCTTTGCTCTCTTTGCTCTCTTTGCTCTCTCTTCTCTCTCTTCTCTCTCTCTCTCTCTCTCTCTCTCTCTCTCTCTCTCTCTCTCTCTCTCTCTCTCTCTCTCTCTCTCTCTCTCTCTCTCTCTCTCTCTCTCTCTCCATCTCTCTCCATCTCTCTCCATCTCTCTCTCTCCATCTCTCTCAATCTCTCTCAATCTCTCTCAATCTCTCTCTCTCTCTCTCTCTCTCTCTCTCTCTCTCTCTCTCTCTCTCTCTCTCTCTCTCTCTCTCTCAATCTCTCTCTCTCTCAATCTCTCTCTCTCTCTCTCAATCTCTCTCTCTCTCTCAATCTCTTTCTCTCTCTCAATCTCTTTCTCTCTCTCTCTTTCTCAATCTCTCCCTCCCTCCCTCTCTCTCTCTCTCTCTCTCTCTCTCTCTCTCTCTCTCTCTCTCTCTCTCTCTCTCTCTCTCTCTCTCTCTCTCTCTCTCTCTCTCTCTCCTCTCCTCTCCCTCTCTCTCTCTCTCTCTCTCTCTCTCTCTCTCTCTCTCTCTCTCTCTCAATTTCTCTCTCTCTCTCTCAATTTCTCTCTCTCTCAATCTCTCTCTGTCTCTGCTCTCTCAATCTCTCTCTGTCTCTGCTTGCTCTTCTCTCTCTTCTCTCTCTTCTCTCTCTTCTCTCTCTTCTCTCTCTAAGACTGACCCTGGCATGACTTCATTACAGGATGGAGATGTCATCTACTGCCGTGACCTCCGTGCATTTGGAATCCGGCCTGTGCTGGAGTACGAACCAGCTCCCTGTGGTAAGTGTTTGAGGTAGAATTATAGCCCTGTCCTTACCTGTTTTCTTAATATGCTAGATTGATGTTGCCATCTGTATGTTTATTATTTCTAACTCTTACCACAAATTCAGATTAAAAAAAAAAAAAAAAAAAAAAAAACTTTGACTCCCATTGATGGTATTTGCCTCCAGCCTAAACTTGAAAAACAATTTTGCCCTGCGCACCACCCAACCCCACAGGAGGTCTCCCAAGATCACGGTCGCCGAGCGTGGAGAAGACGACCTCCGCTTTCGGCCAGTTGAGCCTCCTGCACTCCCACAAGGCCATGAAGGCTATCCCGGAGCACCACCGGACGAAGAACTGCGAGAAGCAGTACTACGCATCGAGCACAAACCTTACCTACTTACCCATTGAGGTTCTTCAGCTTATTGCCAGTTATTTGGATGGATTCAGGTGTGTTGGGAACCAGTTTGGCTCTGAATTCTTGTGGCAGAGGTTTTGTTGCCAATTTACTCTCTCTCGCTTCTCTGCTCTCTCTTTTCTTCTCTCTTTCTCTTTTTCCCTCACTTCCTCTCTCTTCTCTTCTCTTTTCTTTTTGTCTCTTTGTTTCTTGTCTTTTCTCATCTTTTCTCGTCTTTTCTCTCTCTCCTCTCTTGTCTGTCTCTTCTCTCTTTTCTCTTTTCTCTCTTTTCTCCATCTCTCTTTTGTCTCTCTCTGTCACTGTTTCTCTTTCTGTGTCTGTCTGTCTGTCTGTTTGTCTGTCTCCCTGTCTCCCTCTCCCTCCTCCGCTCTCTCCCCTCTCCTCTCTCTCTCTCTCTCTCTCTCTCTCTCTCTCGCATCTCTCATCTCTCTCCTCTCTTCTCACTCTCTCTCTTCGGTCAGTCCTCTCCTCTACGTCTCTCTCTCTCTCTCTCTCTTTTCCCCCCCCTCTCTGCTAGATCTTACTCTCTCTCTCCTCTCCCCTCCTGCCCTCTCTCCCGTCCCTCCCTCCCTCCCTCCCTCCCTCCCTCTTGCAGGTACATGCAAAGTTTGTGCACCTGTCATAAGTTTAGAATTAAGTGGATATAGATCTGATGATATTGTTTTGAAGGACTTGAGTACTTGCACTGTATAATATTTTTTATAATATGTATATATAGTTAGTATTATTTTATTGGATGTGTACTCTATCTCTGTCTCTCTTTCTCTCTGTCTCTCTCATGAGTGTGTGGGTATGTTTGTGTGTGTGTGTGTTGTGTGTGTGTGTGTTGTGTGTGTGTGTGTTGTGTGTGTGTGTGTTGTGTGTGTGTGTGTTGTGTGTGTGTGTGTTGTGTGTGTGTGTGTGTTGTGTGTGTGTGTGTGTGTTGTGTGTGTGTGTGTTGTGTGTGTGTGTGTTGTGTGTGTGTGTGTGTGTTGTGTGTGTGTGTGTTGTGTGTGTGTGTGTGTGTTGTGTGTGTGTGTGTGTTGTGTGTGTGTGTGTGTTGTGTGTGTGTGTGTGTGTGTGTTGTGTGTGTGTGTGTGTGTTGTGTGTGTGTGTGTGTTGTGTGTGTGTGTGTGTTGTGTGTGTGTGTGTTGTGTGTGTGTGTGTTGTGTGTGTGTGTGTGTGTGTGTGTTGTGTGTGTGTGTGTGTGTGGTGTGTGTGTGTGTGTTGTGTGTGTGTGTGTGTGTGTGTGTGTGTTGTGTGTGTGTGTGTGTGTGTGTGTGTGTGTGTGTGTGTGTGTGTGTGTGTGTGCGTGCATGCGTGCGTGCGTGTGTGCGTGCGTGTATGTGTGTGGGCTCACGCACATATGCGCGTGTGCATGTTTTTTTTTTTTTTTCTTTGTCCCTGTTTCTTGGTCATAGATTTTCCTGAGAGAATAAAGTATGTTATGATTTTTAGATAACAGATGCTACATTTGTATTGTCATCTACTTTTGAACATATTTGTCTGATTGTTCTGAGTCTTTCCTTTTTTGGAATTAATTTCAGTAATCAATGTAACATTAAACCTAGAATTACTTGGTGTGCTTTTGTGTGCATAGATCTTTGTTGTCATGTTCATGTGTATGTCTAACCTTAAAGTCTGTTTTTAAGTAGTTGTGCTACAATGATCTTACTGAATTCCCTATGAAAAGAGATGTCCTTACCAAAATAACAAATGTTACTGATTATCCTTATTGTATATTGAATTTTTGTTATTATAGTTTTCCTTTTTTTTTTTTTTTTTTTTTTTCTTTGTCCCTGTTTCTTGGTCATAGATTTTCCTGAGAGAATAAAGTATGTTATGATTTTTAGATAACAGATGCTACATTGTTATTTGTATTGTCATCTACTTTTGAACATATTTGTCTGATTGTTCTGAGTCTTTCCTTTTTTGGAATTAATTTCAGTAATCAATGTAACATTAAACCTAGAATTACTTGGTGTGCTTTTGTGTGCATAGATCTTTGTTGTCATGTTCATGTGTATGTCTAACCTTAAAGTCTGTTTTTAAGTAGTTGTGCTACAATGATCTTACTGAATTCCCTATGAAAAGAGATGTCCTTACCAAATAACAAATGTTACTGATTATCCTTATTGTATATTGAATTTTTGTTATATATAGTTTTCCTTTTTATTGTTTTTTTTCTTCTTTGTACATTTTTTTAGTAAAATAATTTCTTCCTTTGTGTTCCCAGCCTCAACAACCTTTCACTTACCTGTCGATTAATGCGCGACGTGTGTCTCTCTCTCATTAACGACCGAGGCCTTGTTATTCTGGAATGGGTGCGCTACATTGAGGACGACAAAGTACGATGGAAAGAGGGGAGGAAGGTGAGTGTTGTGTTGTGACGTTTTTGTGTGTACATTGTGTGTCTGTGCTTGCATGTGTGGCTGTTTGTGAGTTGGGTGGGTGAATTTTTGATAGTGTGTCAAGTTATTTAGTGATAATGACTTCTAAGAGAAAGCCCTGCATTTCATCTAATTCTCTCATTTGTCTGTATGCGCTCTATATGCCTTATGTATATTTGACAAAATGTTTTGTAAAGTCTGTTCCCTTTTTGTTTTTTTTCAGCGTCGCTTCTTCAGCAAATCTTTTGAACATGTTACTCACTGGGGCTTCAAAAATGTTCCTCACATGGCAGACCACTTACAGAATTGCCCATTTAACAAGAGGTAAGTTTTAACTCCTTGATCATAGTGAACCACATGTGTTGATTGAAAGACTTGATTTATGCAACTAATACCAAGATGTCAGGGTTAGACTTCTTTCAGTTTTCGTGGCAGACTTCATTTCTTTGAAAGACATTTTACTCTCTCTGGCTATGTTTTAAAATACAGATGTTGGAGAGTTTGCTTTGATTTATATCATATTATTTTTTCAAAGAAAGCTCTTGGATTATACACACTATTCCTAGGATTAATATTCACCCCAAGTATTTCTCTTGACGGTTGAAATTCATATTCTGCCGGAAATTATGATTTTGGCTCTAAATGTCATTAAAGCCAGGGAAGAGTCACAAAAATGACATGACACCATTATAAGTTTTAATAATTTTTTTTTTTTCTTTCTTTTTTTTACACAGATACATCACCAAGAACACATTTGCATATATCCTGCCAAGTGAAGGTGGAAAGTTGTTAAGGAAAACATTAAGAAATGTTACATTTTGACCGCAGTGATATAGACAGCAATTCCATAGGCAAGACTGGATGAAAAAGGGAACTACATTGTGGATTTTGTACTCCAGGTGAAAAATTTATATTAATTTATACACACACACACACACACACACACACACACACACACACACACACACACACACACACACACACACACACACACACACACACACACACACACACACACACACACACACATATTTACATATATTTACATGTGTATGTATATGTATATGTGTATGTATATATGTGTGTGTATAACAGCTTTTTGTGTTTAATGGAATTTTGTTAAAAAGTTTGCCACACATGTACACTTACGTATACACAAATACTAAGAAAAATTCATGTATGTAAATCATTGCAGAGGAATTCCTTAAATCTGATAGTATTCATAGTTTTCCAAGTAATCTTCCCTGTACATTGTTCACAGTCCATGCCATGCTATAAGTTATTTTTTCCCCCGTGCTTTCACACAAGAACAATCCATTGGAAAACATGCTCTCTTATCCCGTAAGATGTCGCGGAAGATACCAAAGATTGTCATCATCAGTGCCGAAAAATGTTGCCAGGCACGAGGAACTTCTTCTCTGTGCAATTTATGTGATTATCGGTTCACATTTGTTCATCGTCGAGATTCGCAGCCGGGCCGATTCTCTAGTTTAATCTTTTTGTGGTGGAAATAACTTTGTGAAAATGGCTACTTTTTATTGTTATTGTTGCAAATAGATTCATAACAACTTTTAAATCATGTTGCATATTTTCAATATGATGATACATTACTGTTAAATGCTGTAAATTGTTAACTGATGTATTTGAATGATTTGTTAACAGTGAATTATGAAACATCACACACAAAGCAGAACGCAGACAGACAAAGAAAGAGTGGTTGATATTTTTTTGTGTTGGAATCGTATGCTAGATCTGAAAAAGTATACTGTTTTTGGGTAGTTGGCTTTTTTATAGAGTTAAAGAGAAAGTTGTAATTAGATTTTTGAGAGGATGAGTGCATAATGAAAATTAACTTTGTTAGTATTTATGAATTGTGTGTTCATGACATTAGGTAAAAGTGTTTTCATAATGATTTTCAATTACATAGGATAATAGAAAGAGAAGTGTATTACAGAGAATAATTAATTGTAAGAAATAATGTGTATAATGTTATCATGTAGATTTTTTTTTCTTCTTTTTCATATGAGATTGAAGGTACAGCATAGCAAGAACTAACAATGGTAATTCAGAAGATTAGTTATTTATGACATTCTCATTTTACAATCGCTCCTTGCCATAGGTGCATAATTACCTAGCATACGCTTAGTTTAGAGGCAAAAGGCCATCTGAAGTAGATAGAATAAACTCACCCTCGGTTTTATAACTCTCATGGGTAGATACATTCATATTTCTCATTTAGAAGCTGTTCCTACGTCCAGGCGGAAGCTTTCAGGTGTGTTTGCTTGCAGGTGAAATCTTCAGTGTTATGTGTGGTGAAAGCTTGATGGATGAAGTGTGTTACTTAGGTAGTCCAACACCTTCACAACATGAATGGGAACTTAACCTTGCCTCTCACCACTTCATCGTCTGATAACAGCTAGTGAGACTGTGGGCTTTCATATCGGTAGTACAGCATGCGTTTCCCTCTCTTGAGGTTTTATCATCATTGAGAGACTGTTGTTTTGATAAAGAGAGTTAGATACTGAGCTTATGATAGTCTTTTAGAATGTAATGATGAGAGTTGTTGGGAGGATTATGTGATCGTGTCTTTACTCTATATGTCTTTCATGTTGTGCTTCTCCTCATACCATATCACAGCTGATTATCTTGTCAGATTTTAAACAGATTGATATGCTTTTTGTTGTAGCTTGTATATATATATATATATATATATATATATATATATATATATATATATATATATATATATATATATATATATATATGTATATATGTATATATGTATATATATATATATATATATATATATATATATATATATATATATATATATATATATATATATGTATATATATATTTTTGTTCTTTTCTTTTTCTTTTTCTTTTTCTTTTTCTCTTTCTCTTTTTCCTAGCTTGATTTCATTTTAAAATTAAGCAGGAATTAATTCTAACCAACTAAATGAATGATCACTTCTGTGTATAGATAATTAATTTATTATTTCAGTATGTATTTTTTTAATTTTGTGCAATTCTTCAAAATAGACATACAAAGACACATACAAAGGGGTCTCCACCCTCACTGCCCTCTCCAAGCACATGGGAATGTACATGCACACGCAAAAAAACATACACATACACAGTCATATGAATGGCTACACATGGATGTAGGTTTAAGAACTATTTGTACGGCTTCATGTGCTTTATCTTTTATCACTGATATGCTATTTTAGGGAAAATATCTTTTTATTTTTATTGCTATGGGTGCCTTTTTCAGTCGGATTGCTTTTGATAGATTTCAGAAAAGTGTGGTTTTTATTACATTCAGCCTTATATTCATTCTCTGAGCAAGCCAAAAGTTTTTAGATAATTATATTTGCAATGGGTGGGGCTTGTGATGCAGGATGGGTGGCTGTGATCGCTGTAGGATATCTTTGGAGGATGGGGCTTTTAACTAAGTTAAACAGTTATAAGATTCTTAAGTCAAACGCACGCGCATGCACATGCAGACGCACACGCACACGCACACGTACACGCACACGCACACGCACACGCACACGCACACTCACACTCACACTCACACTCACACTCACACTCACACTCACACTCACACTCACACTCACACTCACACACACACACACACACACACACACACACACACACACACACTCTCTCTCTCTCTCTCTCTCTCTCTCTCTCTCTCTCTCTCTCTCTCTCATTCTCTCTCTCATTCTCTCCCTCTCATTCTCTCTCTCTCTCTCTCATTCTCTCTCTCATTCTCTCTCTCTCTCTCTCATTCTCTCTCTCTCTCATTCTCTCTCTCTCTCATTCTCTCTCTCTCTCATTCTCTCTCTCTCTCTCTCTCTCTCTCTCTCTCTCTCTCTCTCTCTCTCTCTCTCTCTCTCTCTCTCTCTCTCTCTCTCTCTCCTTTCTTTCTTTCTTTCATACTTTCTTCCAAGTTCACAAAGAAATGGTTTGTTTTTGAGAGTGTAAAATTTCTGTTTCTGGTTTTATCTTACAGTGGTAATGTGTCTTTTTCTAATGTCTTCACACAAGAACTATTTTACTATTTAAATGCCCCCTACTGACTTTACTTTTTTGGAAAAGGCTGATTTAAGTAAACTGATATTATAATCGAGTGATAAATGGAACAAGTGTTTTGGTAATATTGATTTAGAATTTCAGTTTTCCAATTCTTCATTGACATCTATAAATTGTTTGAAGTTCCACGTCCGCACACTATCCAGGAACGAAGTAGTAGGATAATGTCTTATTGCCTGTGTTACCTCCTAATATAGTTTGGTAAGTCTTAGGTGTATTCTTCATCTAAGATTAATATAAACTTGTGATATTTCATTTCCTAATGGTGCATATATAGTTTTTTTTTTGTTTTTGTTTTTTTGTTTATGCTATAAGCTTGACTACTTATTTACCAGAATAGATTCCAGTGAAAGGATGACTTCATTTATGTAGGGGAAAGCAACTCTCTGGCTTTCACAGTGTTGGCAGCATTATGTTATGTTATAATTTTGAAATATGAGAAGTATGAGTACATAGATAGAATTATGCTCACACCTAAACATAAGCATGTAAAATTACACATCCCTTGCTGACACATATAAAAACCACTTACACTTTGTTACACATAACCAGACACATATTTTGTAGAGTGCAAGTATATGATGATGATGATGATAATGATGATAAAGATGTTAAAAAGTAGCAACAGAGTATTTGTATGTATATGTATTTATAAATTTATATATAAACGAGTGTTTATATATATATATATAAGACTTGATTTTATGCATGGTTTGACTACCATGTTCCAGATGTGATATACCTTTTGATAGCCTGGCTTGAATAAACTAGTCTACGGGTTCTTATTCAAACTAGTATTACTTTGAGCTTATCTTAAACCTCCTGATCTTATGAAAGGAAAGAAAAGCCATTCTGTTTTAAAGCTAATGATAAAATGATATGAGTTGATTTCAAGAATGATTGTTGGTCACATGACAGGCTAATATTGCTACGTCTGTGAGACTTAGAATACAAAAAGAAATGTAGTATGTATTAGGGTCATTTTCATACTAATTATTTAATGTTATCTGGTTTTGCAGTTAGTTAGATTTTATTAATATGTTTCTCTTATAATTTATTGGTAAAAATACCTTGTCTCTTTGAGTTTCTTTCACGTCAAGTTTGGTTATTTTTTCCTAATTGGTTTTCAGCCCGGGAAATTGGTTTGAAATGTGAACTGGTTAACTGTTTCATGATATGTTTGATGGTGTTCAAATCAGTTCCTCAGAAGAAACCTTTGTGGGAAGTTTAATCTCTGCAGTTGATTAATAATTTTGGAACTGTTGGACTAAAAAGAAAGAAAAAAAAAATGCTAAACTAGTTTCCAATCAGTTGCTGGACAGCTGATGTGTTTGTGTGAGTGTGCATGCATGTATAAGCCAGCATTTTATAGTAGCATCAAGTTTGAGAAAAGGAATAAAAGAAAATATTTAGAAAAAAAAATATTATATAAAAAGAAAAGGATGAAACAGAATATTAGACTTATGCAAATTTGAGACAGGGGTCGTATATCTGTGAGAATACTATTCAGCAGAGAAATATCAAGGTAAAGTGTAAAATAATTTCTTCTTCCTATTAGAACTAGAAGATTAATCCGTCTTTGCTCTGTTCTTTTAGCAGCTAATGTTAGATTGATAAAATTAGTCACCACATAGCTACCTACAACTTGAAAGCTTTAATTATATAACAAAGGAGAAAGACCTTTTGAAAGAGAATTGCTGAAAGCATATATATCTACAAACAAGTGCATAAATCCCCACAGAGTCTGGAATGAAGGACGAAAAGTACGATTTAGAACAAGAGAGAAATATGAACTGGTTTAGGCAGACTTTACAGCACTCTGAGTAATATACAAATGTACTGAAACTGTGATTGTGGGACCAGTTTGCAAATCATTTTGCATTTAAGGCCATCAGTCCTTGCACTGACTATTGGTTATAAAAATGTGATTTTGTGGGAGGTAATGACAGTGTTTCAGTAGAAGTAGATTTATATGACATAATATCTTTAGGTTATATGCTTTGTAAAGTCTTTTAAAGCAATTGTTTTTTAACCTGTAAAGGGACAGTTGCATATCTTAGAATGTGTAGTTCTCACCATCATAGACCTTCTTAAAACCCATTTGTAAAAAGGCAGCATCCCCTCATTATGAAAAGTGCTGAATGTCCCCCAAGCGGAAGCCATACCTGCCTCCCTTTCTTATAAACTTAGAAGTTACCGGACATGGAATTTATATTTTTATAAGAATTTTGAATACATGATCAGAGGTAGTGTAAAGACACTAGAATTAGATTTGTAAAGTAATAGTATAAGAGGTTATCCAGCATTAGTTTAAAAAAAGTGTCACACTGTCCTGTAACGTCTAATAAGTAAGAGGGAAACACACATGATTAGGACTTTTCTCCCAAGTGTTGTTGACAGTGGGAGTTCATGTGTGATCATGAGTTGCTGTTGTATATAGATTGAAGTTTATAATTTTTTTAATGAGCAGAAATGTATACTGACTTGTGTTTTGCTATGATAATGACAAAAGTAGATTTGTTATGCAACTGTTTCTAAATGAAGGCATGTATTATGAATTCTGAATAGAGAATATAACATAGAAAGAAAATGTATTCTTTAAAGAATATATTTATTTATCTTATAAAACCAAAATATAAATTATTCAGCTTAAAAATAGCAAGAGTATAATAAGAGATTTTTAAAAATACATTTATATGTTTCTCTCTACTGTTTGAGCCTTCTGTGTGTTTCTAATAGTCTCCATTAATAAGCTTTACATGATTTCCTTTACAAATACAACCTTTTTCATTAAAAACAGGTATTTGACAGGTTATAGTCCATCTTACATTTCATTCTTTATGTTTTATCTACAGTCTTATCTTAGACTCCAGGAATCAGAAAATGGTTCAAGGCTTGTAAATTGGCTTTGGTTTGAGTATTTATATTTTCTACAGACTGAATTATGTCCTGAAAATTAATAGTATTTGTAGTGTTTAGTAAAAAAAAAAAAAAAGAAAATATAAGAATGAGTGTATTTTATTAATGATTTCACTTCACTTATTCTTATAAAAATGGGCAACACCAATTTTCTTAACCTCTTGGTCCTTGGGCAGTCTAAAAAATAGCTAACCAGTTTAGCTGAAGGCATCCCCTCCCCTAAATCTTTCTTTGCCATCCTCTACTTACTGCCAGCTTCATGAACTATTCCTAAATTCTTGTCTAATCTCCTGGAGTTCTTTTGGGTAATGTAATTTCATATTTTGCTCTCTTTTTAATAAGACTATAGCTAAATTAACCCACTCAGCACGGATGGCAAGAATACATGCCATGCCCACCGTAATATAAGTTTATTTATTGTATTTACATATAGATGGCTCTACAAGTGCTTAATCACCAAGGAGTTCATTATTAGTCCTACCGATCTCACCTGTTTACCCTTTTCCTTGACTTTTGGAAAGGGTCTTTTGTATTATTTATTTGTCTTAAATGTTAAAAGATTATAAATAACAATTTAATAATCATAACATCAATTGTATTAAAAAGAAAAACACATTTTCCCGCCAATTCAAGGAATTGGGAAATCAGGATCGGTCACTAGGG